CCAACATGGTCCAACACAGCCAAGCCCAAATCGAAGCCAAAAACGCAAAAGGCCCAAGACTGCCGAGTACGCGGGGCGTACTCAGCCTGTACGCTCAGCTTACTACATAGGAGGCTTGTACGTGCAACATACATACTTGTACGCCCAACGTACTCACCAACCATGACCTTCTTTCCAAATTCATCACTTAATCCATTAAGACTTGGATCCAAGCTCAGATCTGACTTCTCCAAGGTGGTTAATCATATAAAGTTGTCAACTTTATGTGCATGCATGGCTAAATGGGACTCTAGAGCTCAAAAGAGCTTACTACTTGACTTAATACATGCATGGAACCAAAACCACCATAAAGTTTGCACCTTTATGCCCAAGGAACCCATGATATATCCAGATCTACAATTTCAAGCTTCAAAAACGACTTTGACTCCCACTCATCAACCAAAAGGGGTCAAAATGACCAAAAATGCACCAAGAAGAAGATCCATGAAATGAAAAGGCAAGGTTTGAACTTTATACCTCCCAAGCTACCAAAAGGAGATGCAAATGCTAGATCTCAAAGCTTTCCTTCAAAGAACAAGTCTTCAAGTTCCTCCTTCTTCTTCTGGATCCATTAAACCCTCCACAAATCTCAAAAGAACTTCAAGATCACCAAACATGGGCTAGGGGTCGAATTAGGGTTTTTAGAGCATGGAGGCTGACTTAGAAATGACCAAAAAGGGATATCATAAAGCTTTATATAGGGCACAACCCAAAAAGATTAGGGCTTTTAACTGACCCTCGTACGCCCAGCGTACGAGGTCTAGCACCCCCGCACCACCCTTCGCATTACGCCCAACGTTTACCAACTTATGCCAAGCGTACTGACCTCCGCACCAGTACGCCCCCACGTACTCCCTTGGTACGCCCCGCGTACTAGGGTTTCCTCTAAAACCCTAATTACTCTGAAGGCCATAACTTCCTCGATCTAAGTCCGTTTTTGACGAACTTTATATCCACGGAAAGGTGACAAGAAGCCCTACACTTCTAGCAACCTATCATAGCCTTGAAGTTCCCCGAACCAAACCCAAAATTCATAAAGGACCGAGATAACAAATTATAATTATGTCCTTGGGCTCCGAAACACCATTGAATCCTCGGATCACTTAAACTTTAACATCCTCATCCAAAAAGGGTCGAATCCTTTCTTCCCCAATCTCCCAAGCCTTATGATAATTGATGCTCGGGCCGCTGCCCTGAATAATGAAGCGATTCGGAACAGGGTGTTACAGTAAATGAAAAGGAAATATCTAAAAAAATCCTAATATTTTGGTCCAATTAATAAAAATTCCTAAATTTTATTTTTTGTTAACAGAAAAGTCCCAATTACCGGATAAAAAATTCAAATAGATCATTTGTTACTGGTAAACTATTTTTTAGTGAGGAACATATAACCGAAAAACCGAACCAAAACCAAATTAACTGATATAACCGAACCATCACTAAAAGATATAGTGTGGTTTCTAATTTTTATTAACCGAATATGTATGGCTCGGTTAAGGTTTTCATCTAAAACCGAACCATTATAAACCGAACCGAACCAATAATATTAATAAATATTTTTAATATAATATAATATTAAATATACATGGTATGTAATTATGTTCAAAATTAAAAATTTAAAGAGTAATTATTTGGAGTTAGATATGATAAGTGATTTTCTATCAATATATATATATATATATATATATATATATATATATATATATATATATATATATATATATATATATATACACACAATCATTCATTTTTCATAGCAATAGACTTTAAGTTTTTCAATTTTTATAGAAAATTATTTTTATTTTTATCTTATTTTGGACCATTATGGTTCTAATATTAACCGTCACCCAATGACTATCGAAATACATTAACCAATTGTAATGGTTATGGTTCGGTTTTGACCAATAACTGAACTAAACCGCAACATACACACCCTTACTATTTTTTCCCGGTTACCTCTAAAAAAGTCCCCATTATTTTTGTTCAGTTTATGAAAAAGTTCCAAATTTTTATTTTACTTCAACTCTTTTATTCTTTCGTAAAAAATATGAAATTTTCCTAGTTTTAAAAAATTGTATTGTTCTAACAATTTTTTACAATTCTAGAAGTATTTTCTAGGATGTAAATGGAAAAGGACATTATCTTCATTCGTACAAACTAGGTCGAGGGCAAGTCTGTCATTGCATCAACTGACATTATATAAAATCACAATGTTATATATTGGTATGCCATCTAAAACACTACTTCATTTTAAAGTTTCATATGTCAAACCAAAAGTCATTATAGAAGCGAATCCATAGAAGAACAAACATCGTGTTTCTTATAGTATTGGTGTTTTGGAGCATCGAAATTCAAATTTATTGACATGTGAAGTAATTGATCCATGGATGAATTGATCGTATTTATTTAAGATTTAAGAATAAAAATCATGCTCTTTTCTAGAATCTGTACAGTCTCATCTAACATACTATTGTATTGATTGGTTTGTCACCACTCAATGGTTTCTTATATAAACATAACATTTGGTTTTCCTTTTACCTATTTTTAGGTAGATTGTAATAAGTGTTCAACACATAATTTGAATTTATTATAATACTTGTAACATATATTTGTGTGAGAAATGGATTATATGGACGATGATAATGTCAAAATGATGCTAACATCATTGTTTTGTATCAAATAATTGATTATAGAGTACTTTGATCCTTAGTTTTATGGGGGTTAATGACGTTTATTCCTATTCATAATTTGAACCAAAAATTTTCCATATTTTTAGTGAATGAATAAAAAAGTTGAAAAAATGGAACTTTTTTCATAAATTGAATCAAAATAATGAAAACTTTTCTGGAGGTAACTATTTTATGGGTAAAAAATGACTAATTTTAAAATTTTTTTATCCGATAATCGAGACTTTTTTGTTAACAAAAGAAAATTTGGGATTTTTTTCATAAACTGGACTAAAATATTAAAATTTTTTCAGGAGATTTCCTTAAATGAAATAAGCTAATAACTAAAACCGTAAAATCCTACTCTTTTCCCTACCTAAAAAACGGTGCCTTGGCCTCCCCCTCTCTATCTCCTTATGATCGACGAACAAGTAAAAAGGAAGAACACTCAATAACATCTTTGATTTGATGCTATTTGGCCCATTTTATATGTGCATGTTTGGATAGTGATTGGAATCGTGATTATTATTTCATATATCAAAGGATCTTACATACCATAATATGAATCAAAAACCATCATAGAAACCATCATATGGTTGGTGTTTCTTAGTTGAGAAATCAAATATCTTTTTACTTTTCCTTCCTACCCATTTAAAATTCTTACAAATGTCTAGTTTTATTTTTCCAATAATATTATAGCATATTTGTCACAATTTTAATTTTTTTTTTTTTGAAACGAAAAATAAATATATGCCATAAACAGTTGCCACTAACAAGAACCTAGAAAACAAGCAAGAAGCTAGAAAACCAACAGCAATAAAACATAGTATGATTACAGGGAAAGACAAAATTAAAATGAGCGAACAATTCCAATCACTCCAAATACTAGACACATGTTTTCCCCTATGCTTTACCAAATGTAAGATAATGAAATTATATTGTCTATAATAATGGAAGAGGAAAGAGGTAATACCTTTTTTGTTTCTAGCCAGCCATAACCTCCATAGTATAATATTATAGAATAACATATTTTATATGTGTGGATAGGAAGGAAAAGTAAGAAGATATTTAATTTTTCTTCTTAGTTTTCTAATTAGATCTTGCTTTTGGAGATGATAAAATTTTATGAATCTATGTTATAAAAATATGTAGATATTAAAAAGATACTATACAAAAGCAAAAAACACTATTTAATTTAAAGAAAATCTAATATCATCTTGTTTACAAATATGGCATACGATTTAGATAAGCATATGGTATCTTATTTCTATGTTAGATATTTGCTTAAATACAAAATACAAGTCGGTTGTTATTGTAAGTAGTAACAAAATACAAGTGGGTTGTTATTGTAAGTAGAAATTAATTATGTTGCTTGTTGGAGTAAAAATAGTAAAACTTGTTATATACACCAATTTGCCCTTCATGGAGTTTTAGAAAGAATGAAAAAAATAATAATAAAATAAAATAAAAATAATAATCAAGTAGAGGAAGTTATCTTGGATCTAAAGTAAAAGAACACTCGAAGGAAAGAAGGTAAAACTGATTCAAGTTGGAATCAAGTGATTCAATCAGAAGTCTTTGGAAGAAATTGAAGTATTGAACCTTTTAAGCATTCTATTTCGTATGAATAAAGGATGCAAGTCCAAACACTACTAAACCCAATCAAATTAAAAACATTTCGACTCACTAAATATATAAAAATTTGTTAGTAATGTCTAGTGTATCCTCACACGATCTAGAATAGAGTAATAATACTCAATCTACAAGAACAGGAAATAACCTCGTCAAAGAACTTCTAAATCTTAGTGATAACCTTTAGTTGAGATTGAATGTTGAAAAACTCTTTAACTTCTTAAGTTTAAAAAATCAGTTTATTTATATTTCAGTTTATTTTAACAGTCTGCACGTTAAAAAAACAAACAATCTTCTTCTTGCAAACTATAGATGTTTCATCCTCCTTTTCTTCTGCATATATCTGCAACGTGGTCTGCAGATTGCAAACTTTTACCTTTTAAAAAACAAACAACACCTAACATTTTTCTTCTTGCATACTGCAGACGTTTGGTCCATCTTTTCTGCTACAGATGTCTGTTGCAATCTTGTCCACAAACTGCAACGTTTTTACCTCTTAAAAACAATATTTTTCTTGCTGACTGTAGTTATTTAGTTCACCTCTTATTTTGCAGATGTGGTCCGCAGACTGTAAACTTTTTACCTCTTAAAAAACAAACTACACCTAAAAGTTAAACAAAAAGTAGTTTTTTATGGGTTTAAAAGTTAAACTCTTGTTTCATGTCACACAGATTTAAGTGCAATGGTTAGATTCCTGCATGCACATAGGTTTGGAAAAGAGCTCATGATGTGAAGATCACCACATACATACAAAAATTAGTGAGCTTTCACAATATTTCTCTCATATAACACAAATAAGAATAACCAAGTACGCGAAAGCAAGTTCTAATTAAGCTTTCGTATAAATTTAAGTAGGATTTATGGATAAATGTTATTTCGTACATGAGCCAATTAACTATTCCTAAAAAAAATTGTGATGATACAAGAAACTTTAGAACAAATTAAATGAAAAACAAATTCGATTCGTCTTGATTGGCTTCAAAGTCGAAGGTAACCTCCTCTTTCTCCACCTCCCATGGTTCTTTTATGAAAAGATCTCCGATTAAAAGACCAATTTCTTTTTAATGCTCTTTGTCTTCTCCATACCATTAATCGGCTATATAAAAATGGAAACAAGAAACATAAAAGCACAAAAACTAATGTAGCCACACAAAGCAACATAACATTTCTGAACCCGATTTTCAGCTTTGGATCTTTTTGTTGTGTCCAAGGTACACCTCCCACATTCATTCCAAACACTGTCAAGAAAATGTCATAACATCATGATCATTTTACAAAAATAATTAATGGGGGAACAAAAAGAAACAATTTTTATGAACTTTTCTTGAAAATAATCATCGGGTGAAAAAAATGATACAATTTTTATGAACTTTTCTTAAAAATAATCAATGGGGGAACAAAAAGATACAATTTTCATGAATTTCTCTTGAAAATAATTAATGGGGAAACAAACAGATACATTTTTTATGAATTTCTCTTGAAAATAATTACTGGGGGAACAAAAAGATACAATTTTTATGAACTGTTCTTGGAAAAATTAGTGAGGGAACAAAAAGATACAATTTTTATAAACTTTTCTTGAAAATATTTATAGGGTGAACAAAAAGATACAATTTTTATGAACTTTTCTTGAAAATAATTAAAGGAGTGTACAAAAAGATACGATTTATATGAACATTTCTTGAAAATAATTAAAGGAGGGTACAAAAAGATACAATTTCTTATGAACTTTTCTTGAAAATAATTATCGGGGGAACAAAAAGATACAATTTTTATGAACTTTTGATGAAAATAACTAATGGGAGGAACAAAAAGATACAATTTTTATACTAAAATGGAGACTAGTGTGAAGAATCTAACCTCCTGTGATAATGGATAAAGGAAGGAAGATGATAGAGAGGAAAGATAGACAATATAGTTTTCTGTTGATTTGTTCGGCCTGCCAGCTGTCAAGTCCAGCCTGGACAGCCTTGACTCGGTTGCTTATGAAGCCAACATTGTCTTTTAGTCTTCTGAGTCGCCCAATTAACTCTTCAAGTGAATTGATGTCTTCATTAGCAAACCAACTTTTTGTTGAACACTTTTCTTTCACTCTTGGGAACACTTGTTCCCCATGTGCAATCACCTACATTCATTAAAGAATATGAGATTTTGAAATGTTATGAAAAGAATTGGAATCTATTAAACGAATTGGAATATGAATGATTTGGAATAAGAAAGAATTGAATTATTTTGTTATTTAATATTGCTTTCATTTCTTCATTTTGCAACATTGTACTTTGAAAATTATACCCAATTACAACAATGTAACAAATTGAAAGTACAAAATTGTAATAGAAGGGATTTTTTTTTTCATAAACAAGTTTCAAGGAAAAAAAAAAAAAAAAAAAAAAAACTTTCTTCTATATTCATGTTACAAGTTTGACTTTCGAAAGTCAAACATGGAAAAGTTTCTATAATGGAAAGAATCAAAGAATGCGAACTACCTGCAAGAGGCGTTGCAAATCTAGAAGCATTTTTGGAAATCGTCTATCATTCAACAATTGCTTCTTCAAAGAAAAACCACCTAAAATCAAAAATTCCTTAATTAACCATAACTGAAAAAAAAAACAAAAAACCCATTTGGTTTTGTATCAATAATTCAAGATTCGATTTCACCTTTATCCAGATCAAGTTCAACAGAATCAAGCCCAATCTCAAGTTTAGTAACAACATCTTCAAGATGATCCACATGCGTATCAATAACATGAACAACAAGATTCGATACAGATCTAGGAACAGGATTATCAGCCTCCTCTGAATGATTCATAGTCAACAAAAAGTCAAGAACATGTTCCTTAATTACAATCCCACCTCTATCCACCATCTCATCACCAAATTTAGGACTCGGACTTTCAACACTTGGAATCTCAGTAAGCAAAGATTGACCCACGGGTGAAAACCCTAATCTGGGTACCCGACCCAATGACACAGTAATCACTGAATTCTCAGTAATTCTAGCAGCTAATCGAAATGTAAACTTGCTAGAAGCTGGACCAGGTGAATTAACCCTAAATACAAGAGCTCCATCAACATGCGCACAATAGGGTCCATTGCTAACTAAAGAAAGAATGTCTTGAAGCTTTAATGGTGGACAAAGAACATCGATTAGGTATTGTGCTGATTGAGAAAGCTTTTGATTCCCTTTCGGAAGTTCGACATGATACCAACAGAATTTTTTGCCATTTCCTTGGATTAAATCCCAATCTTTATCACAGTATTCACCAAATCCGTCGAAGATGTATGCTTTTAGTCTAACCTGACCAGGGTAACGAGTTCGAAAGGGGCGCCTCAGAAGGTGATGATCGCGAGTGGGTGATGTTGCGTCGGTTTCCTCTTCGTTCACATCGTCGCTACCCATCTACAATGTGATGAACTTTGTGTTTGTATATCACAGTAATCGTTCAGGTGTTTGTTTGGGGAGAAACGGATTGAAATAACAGCAATCGATAATTTTTGAACATATAAACAGTCGAGAATCCGAATCAATTCATCAAACCCACCAAGAAATTAGCAGTTGGATTAGAGGTTAAAACCATATTGATTTAGCATTGATGCGATATGAACTGAACCCATTCAAGATGATCAGAATTTTGAAAAGTATGTGACCCATAAAGAAAATCTTACCTCATTAAAGCCGACGACTTTTTTCTGTAAACTAGATTATATGAAGCTAAAGCAATGTTATAGATTACAATCTTACCACTTGAAATTACCAAAAAGAAAGCATTATTCTGAAGATTGAATTTTGGAAAATGATGTGGGACGGAGGACACGAGAAGAAAAATGAGGTAAACGGATAACACCCAAGCAATTTGGGAAGACCATAGACATCAGCTGTCTTCAAATAATCGAGCAGCTTCCGCGAAAGTTCATCTTCCAGATTTGAATAATTTTATAATATGTCTGCATCAGAAATCAGAAACAAATAATATATATTAAAAAATTAATGATATTTTATACACGAAACAACTGATAATTGTATGAATACATTAAGCAAAACCAGTGAAGAGGGCATCCGATTTCTGACAATGATTTTTTTAACTACATTTAGTATGGAATAAAGATTCGTATGAATATTTTCAAGATCTTAGTTTTAAATTTCATAACGTTGAAATAAATACAAGACAAAACTACATAAATTATCGTTACTCACTAGATAATCATCTTTATGGTTTTGTTCATATACATAGACAACTTTTTTATTTTTATAAACATTTCACCATTTAATTTGTTATATATGTTTATATTTGACCATTAACTTCTTTATTTTTGTACACATTTGACAATTGTCACCGTCTATAGTCGGTGACAATGGTAATATGTGAACACATATAACAAGTTAAATGGTCAAATGTATACAAAAATAAAGAATTTGTCAATATGTCAACAAAACGAAAAGTTAAATACTCTCATAAGTCATTTTACACATTTTCAATACCATATTATTTTTCATATTTGTTTGTATTATTTTTTTCAAACATTATTTTTAAAATATTCATAATTTCATAAATATTAATTAGATATTGATCAATTCTAAACTTTACTTTTTTAATTAATAAATATGTTTTTATTTTGTGAAATATTTTATATAGCCTCTTATAAATTTTTTTTGTTTTTAAGCATATACGTATTTTTAAAATAAATAGTATCTAACAATAAAATGAAATAAATTAAATATGTAACAATAATTATGGAGGGTCTTTTTGTAACATACACGTTTTGAAATCGTGTTTTAAGTAAATAATATTATTAAATATTTTATAATTATGAGTATTGAGTTCTAACGGATAGTTTTTACTAGAAATGAAGTAAAACTATGTTTAGAATCACTCGGAAAATATTGGAAGTCTTATGAGATTCCAATTAAAAGTTAAAATATCGAAAATTTAACGAAAATATAAAATTTGAAATAAGTAAAATTTTATTATTGAAAGTTGTAAAGAATCTCGTTAGAAACATTTAGGCGAAAACCTCATCGGAATCCGAGTTATAACGAAGAAGTTATGACCAATCGAAGATCCGCGACAAAACCGGCACGGCGCCAAATGACGTAAAAAGTGAGTTTTTGATAAACTACTTTTTATCCTTGCTGATCTAAACGAAAGTCGTAGTATTTGTTAAACCGAGAATTTTGATAAAAAGAACGCCAAAATCTGACTTCATATGAGGAAGTTATGATTTTTCTAAGTTTCAGCTTAGCAGTAGACAGCTAAAAACTCGAATTTTAGATCGAGTGATTTTTAGCCAACACAACCTAAACGAGAATCGAAGGTCTCGTCATTAGTAGTAGAACGGTAAAAAGACTGACGAAAACGGACGTCGGATGAAGAAGTTATGAATTTTTAATGGATTTTCTAGTCCCGGTCTGTTAAAAATAATAATATTAAAAATAAATTCAAAATTAGCCGACAGAGTCTAAACGAAAGTTGTAGAATATATTCCCGCCTACGCGTGCATATAAATAACGTCAAAAACGGAGCCCGTATGCGAAAGTTATGAATTTTAGAAGTTTAGGGCACATTTTCTGAGAAATTTCGCATGGATAAGACCGGCCATGTCACCCTCGCCGGAACTCGCCCCGTGTCCGATCTCGGTGAGTCAGCGGCCGTGTGTCTGCATCGTGGCGCGTCCAAGGAGCGACGCGTGTGCACCTCCGTCCGAAGCTGCCTCCGTCTGACGCGTGTCGCGATGACTCCTCGCATCCGGATCCGAACCTCGCATATGTGCCTCGTGTCCTCCTTCCCTTCGGCCGAAGCTCCGGACCTCGCTACTATAAATAGTAGCTGCGAGACCTCCCGGGTATTTTTGAGAAATTGCCCCTTTTTCACCCCTAATTCCATATTTTAGCTATTTCCACTTCCCCCGAAGCCCCGATATTATTTTCAACACCCGAAATACGTTTCGAAGTGCCCGAGAAGCCCGAAAAATTTATCTTTTCGGTTTTGAAGCCCAACCCTCGCAGAGCCCGGTTTTCAACGAAGAAAGCTAACTATAGTAACAAAGTGCTGCCCAAATTACTATTTTAACCCCCGGTTATTTCACGGTGAGTTTAATATATATGAAAAATTGTATGTTATGTGTTATATGTGCTATGTGCTTTTCAGTGTTATTATTCCGGGTTATTTTCCCGTTTTATTTTTATTTCCGCTATTTATGATAGCAAAGCTATACCTTTGACCATGTGATCAGTGAAAGGACTTAGATTCACGGTGGTACTGGTACGTAGCCTCTGGCCATGTAGAGCATGTCTCCGTAAGAGAATGACTTCTATTCTATGGCATTGGCAGATGGTTAGACAGGGCTATAAGCCTGAAATCTACCGAAATGTTTAAATCAGAAAGTGTATGTCTTCTGTGCCATTTGGGCCGAAGCTTTATTGATCGTATATCTTTGTATCAAATCATTGATTGATATGGAAAGTTTGTCTCATAATTCGCACATGTCTTTGTTGTTCCTTGTTCCTCTTTGCTTCTGTCATATTGAAGTATATATATGGCATAACGTTATATTGTATCTATTATTGAACTCACTAAGCGTCACCGCTTACCCTCTCAATGTTTAACAATTGTAGGGGATAAGTAACCAGTATGGTTATATACTATCGGAAGATGTAGAATAGTTTTTACTATTACTTTTGTACTTCGGTTTATGTATGGATAAAATTACAATATCCTGGGTAGTTAAGTAAAATATTAAAACATAGTCGGTTTGTATCCAATCTTTTGTAATCACTTTATCAATGTAAAATAGTATTTTATAAATATGCATGTAGCATGTTTTGGAGTAACTATATTGTCAAGTTTGAAAGTTTGGGTCTTTTAGAAATACGAAAGTGTGGGTCTTCCAATCATGGTATCAGAGTGGTGGTTTAAGTGAACTAAATTCAATGGATTGGTATTTAGACTTAAACTATTGGAAGTTCAATATATGAACTGAATCATTGTAAATATATGGATACGAACCATAGGAAATACTTAAGTGGGGTATTGGGTAGTGATAAACCCTCGTATTCTAAGATATTAAGTTACTTCAAAATTTTTAGAGAATTAGTTTATGTGAACTAGGAATTTTGAGAATTTCTAGATTTAAACATGGATTGTTAAGTGAAGATGATACGATATGTATCTAGTATACTTTAGGTTGAATACCTAATGGACACAAGCACTAGAATATTAAGAGGAGATATGCATTATATTCTAATATATGCTAAATGATAAATGAATATAGCATGCCTTAGGTTGCTTGCTTATATTGCTATTACTTGAGAGAGTTTAAGGTCTGTTGCCGACCTTGGTCTGGAAGAAGAAATTTTAAGTATTCCAGATTCTAAAATTTCCGTGTTATAACTGATAAGAAACTTTTTGAAGTGATAAAAAGAGACTTATGATAACTGACATCGATAAGTTTATAAATAAACGATCGCGGTATATCGTAAAATAATATTTATGAAGTGTTATCGTAAATAGTGTATTAATACCTATAAAGTGGTATTATACATTTAAAGTATGTTTGATAATATAATAACATCCTTGGAAGAAAGATGTGCGTTTGAAACACATTCGGACGAGATAAATGTTTTGGCATAACCGATGAAGTTGTTCCACCGCTATCCAGAATGAAGCAATGATTGCTTATAGAGTAAGAAGAACCGAAGATGGTGATCAATACTTCGGCAGTATCGCAATTGATGTTGTACAAGATTTAGAAGATTTAAAGATCAAAGGAAAGGCTAATGAAGTTTTCAGACTAAATAGGCCAAGGCTTTGCCTAAACATTTTGATATAGTGTGTAGTTCAAGTAGTAATCCTATACAGGATGTTTAGACTTAGAATTTAATAATACAAAGCGACTTCTATCACATCCTTATAGAAATCCCATTGTGTGTTAAGCCGACTTTAACATACATGATTAGGATGGTGAAATAGGTTATTTGGTTGTGAAAAGGCTGAGTGGCTTACTTGTTAAAGTAAGGTAGAGTACTTAGTTGAAGAAGATATACACTCATATTATTATATGAGAAGAGATGTTGTAGTTAGGAATGATAGAGAATCAAGTTGAAGCTAGTAGAACATGCTGAGATGCAGCTATAATGCAGATTTCCTAGGATAGATTCCTATGAAGTAGACTTAAAAGATACACTCATGAGAAGAAGACTTACTCATATACAGAAATGAACAAATGTGCATGGTGACTTGCATGAATTAGAAGATGATGCAGATAGTTAAAGACCGTTTGTCTCCACGATACTAGAGTAAATTATGGTATAGTGTGTCTTGCAAAGTAGACACTACCCGAGAAAGAATTTATATGAAGAATTTGAAGTAAAATTTCTATCGACCTATGAAAAAGTATTAGGATATACGAAATCGAGCATATACATGAAAAGAATCTTAGAAGGCGAGTATAGGTAACCCAAGATATGTTTGATAGAAACGCGAAAACCCTAGTTGAGTCTAGGAGAAATTGTTGTATGTATTTGTTTAAACACGTTCATGTGTGATAAGTTGCTTTGTGATTTTTGAATGGTGACTTGGGAACTGCGAGACAATACTTGGGACGAGTATAAGTAGGTGTGAATAGTAGTAGAGGCCTATACTACTGGAAGCACAAGACTCACACTTGGATCAGGGAAAGTCACAAGGTTACCAAGAAACTAGTAATCGATTCAGTTTTTGTTTGAGTATGTCATTACCTTCGTTTCGGTGATAACTAAGAAGATGATTTTCGTTCAGACCTTAATGGTCGGAAAGAATCGAGTCCGACTAAAATAGATATGCGAAGTGAGGTGATTGGTTCAGAGAACCATGTCTCGTGTAGTGGCGAAATTTCAGTCAGAGAATTTAAGAATGAGATGGTCAGACGGAGAGAAAAATCCAAACAGTAGAAGATATGCTTTGTGCATATGTCTTGGAGTTGGTGCACGTCAAGTGGAAACACCATCGAGGCCCAAATTATAATTAGGAAAATAAGAATGAGATAAGAGCGAAATATTCCAAGTCATTTTTATCGTTATGATTTCGGGGACGAAAACCTCAAAAGGAGGAGGTATTTGTAACATACACGTTTTGAAA